TCTCTTATTTAGTTCTTATAATAGAAGGACATGACTTTCCATAAAGGTTGGAGTTTCAACTAAGACCTAGGTCTCTGAATCAAATTCCATCCCTTTTTACCCATCATCACTTCACTTTTATACTATGTAAGGTCTGCATGTGGACTGAATTCCTAAACAAACAACCCCAAGATGCTACAAAAAACATGGGAGTACAGATCTCTTCAAGATCCTCAATTCAATTTTTTTTAGAATAAATACTAAGAAGTGGGATTCCTGGATCATATGACAGTTCTACTTTTAATTTTTTGGAAAACCTTCATACTATTCTTCACAGTGGCTGCACCATTTTACAATCATACCAACAGTGCCCGTGGGTTCCAATTTCTCTGCATCCTCATCAACACTTGTTTCTTCCCTCCCTCCCTCCCTCCCTTCCTTCATCCTTCCTCCTTTCTTCCTTTCTTTTCTTTCTTTTTCATAATGATAATCTTAATAGGTGTGGGGTGACATCTCCTTGTGGTTTTGATTTGCATTTCCCTGATAATGACTGACACTGAGCATCTTTATATATACTTGCTGACCATTTGCATGTCTTCTTTAAAGACATATACATTCAAGTTATTCAAGTCCTTTGCCCCACTTTTTTTTTTTTTTTTTGCGACAGAGACAGAGTCTCGCTGTCACCCAGGCTGGTATGGGTGCGATGTCGGCTCACTGTAACCTCCGTGCCTGCCCCCCGCATCCCTCCCCACTCTGGGTTCAAGCAATTCTCCTGCTTCAGCCTCCTAAGTAGCTGAGATTACAGGCGCCTGCCACTGCGTCTGGCTAAAATTTGTATTTTTAGTAGAGCCAGGGTTTCACCATCTTGGCCAGGCTGGTCTTGAATTCCTGACTTTATGATTCACCTGCCTCGGCCTTCCAAAGTGCTGGGATTTACAGGCGTGAGCCACCCTCCCCGGCCTGGCCCACTTTTCAATTTAGCTATATGTTTGCTTGCTACTAGTTGTAGGAGTTCCTTATATAATTTAAATATAACTCCTTATCAAATACATGATACTTGCAATCCTATGTTCATTGCAGCTATTCACAGTACCCAAGAGTTGGAAATAATCTAAATGTCCATTAGTGAATGAATGGTTAAAGAAAACAGGCTATATACAAAAAATGAATTATTATTCAGCCATAAAAACGGAAATCTTGCCATACGCTATAACATGGATGAAACTTGAGGACATTACTTGATCGAAATTAGCCAGTCGCAGGACATATAATGCATGATTTCACCTACATGTCGTATCTAAAGTAGCCAAAGTCATTAAAGAAGAAAGTATCATAATGGTCACCAGAGGATGAGGGGAGAGTAAATAAGGAGTTGCTGTTCAATGGGTATAAAGTTTCAGTCATGCAGGATGAAAATGTTCCAGAGGTTTGCTGTACAACAGTGTGTTTAGAGTTAACAATACTGTACTGCACTTAAAAATTTGTTAAGAGTGCCAGGTATGGTGGCTCACACCTGTAATCCTAGTATTTTGGGAGGCCAAGCTGAGCAGATCATGAGGTCAAGAGATCAAGACCATCCTGGCCAACATGGTGAAACCATGTCTCTACTAGAAAATACAAAATTAGCTGGGCATGGTGGCGTGTGCCTGTAGTCCCAGCTACTAGGGAGGTTGAAGCAGGAGAATTGCTTAAACCCAGGAGGCGGAGATTACAGTGAGCCTAGATTGCGCCACTGTACTCCAGCCTGGTGCCTGGTGACAGAGCAAGACTTTGTTTCAAAAAAAAACTCATTGAGAGTGTGGGTCACATGTTATGTATTTTTTGCTACAATTAAAAAAATTAAAAAAACAAAACAAAATGAAGAAAGGAATAGGAGAACTACAAAGCAAAATGTATTTAACACATTAGTTGACTATTTCTGAATCTAAATCTACTGCAGATGACAATTCAGGCCATTATTCAGGGCCAGACTTTGTTCCACTGATAAGCAGTCGGAGCAGTGAGGCAGGAAAGCCACCTGCTGAGAATAGGGCCTAAAAGAGACCAGAGGTGGGATACATGCAATTAACCCTTAACCCCTTCCCCAGCTCACCATGATGGAACAGCAGATTTGCCTGGCTCTCTTCCTCTCCATATTTTCACCTCTATATGCCCTTAGAGTGTAGCTGCCCCAGTTCACCTCTTTTTTGGGAGGAAGTAGGTATGAATAGATCTTCATATTCTGATTGTCTTGAAATGAGTTAGGAAAAACACTATTTTTCTTTTCTGGTTAATAGGCAAGGAGATCTCTGGTTTATGAGAGTAAACTTGGTTACATTTTCAGCTATAAATGACTGGCTCTCTTAGGAAATACAAATGGACAGTACTTGGAGGCTGGAGGAGTAGTATGGAAAATCTGATGAAGAAGGTGTGGGCCTGGCCACTGGAAAGCATTTTGGTGGGTCTAATGATTTTGGGAAAATCTCTGCAAGGCTGGAACATTTTGCCACACATAAGTGGTTATTTCCTCAGCCTCTTCTGCATTCACTGAGAGCTCTGTGTAGCCGGTTAGAGAGTGACAGAACTGAAAAATAGTCCCAGTATGGATCTGTCAGGAGAGATACTTCAGTGTAGGTTTTTCGAATATGTTCCATATAACAGAGCCTGGTTTCAAACAAAATCTGCCTCATTCTGGTCCATAGAATTCTTGGAAACATAATTTTATATACCCAAAAAGTCCTCTGGGCTCTTCGAGGGAGTACTGTAAAGGCTTTCACCACCACCTTACCTCTGTTCTGTCTAAGCAGGAAATCAAGTCCTGCCAAATGCAAATGAGCTCAGACTCCAAAAGGCCAAGTGTCACGATGCATAATGCTGCTGGATTTAGAAAGATCATGCCCTACAGAAATGATATTTGAGGGTTTAAGAGACTATAGAAAGTCATCCTGAACATATTTAAAATGTGTGATTTCAGAATAGTAGTACGTGCAAAACCATCTTAGATTTGTATTAGTAAGTCCCTTCCTTTTCACGGTGGCTCCAGAACCTCCAAGGAATTTATCAGAGCCTCCTGCTTCTCCCGTCTGCGCTCTGTTTTAGAAGAGAAACGCTTCTTTTTGATTCACATGTCATAGGTGTTCTAGAATAATGCTGACTCATGCCTGAAAGATGGCATTGGCTTTGCTGAAAGAAAACAGAAGCTGATCCTCTAAAACCTACTGCTGTCCCTCAAAGAGTTAACGGAGTCAGTTCCAAAGGAGTTAGGCAACGGCTGAAACTGGATAATAAATGTGACACTCTCAGACTATCTGTAGCAAATATTTGAGCTTATCAAATAACAGAGGAAGTAGTTTAGTTACAAATAAACCAATCTCTCATAAAACAAGTTTTCACACAGGTTCATTTCATTGAGCTGGAGACAGTTAGAGGCCACTCGTAGGCGGAACTCCCGCTCTGTACACTCTAACAGCCCCTCGTGATTAATGGACAGCCAGGGGGAGGCTGCGTCCTGCGGCTCTGGCCTTCATATCAGTAGAACAGCCATAAACAGCATCTCCGGATTATTGCGAGGAAGTGACTCCTCCTCTGGGAACATAGCTGGGCTTGTGCTCCTTCTCCCTCACCACCCGCCTTCTTTCTCTCCCGCTCGCTCCCTTTTTTACCCTGTAGAGCAGAGACCATCGTGTCCTAGAAACTATAGTAGATGTCACTGCTTGGCACTTGCTGTGCAAAGAGAGGACAAGTATGTGGGTGTGAGGGGGAGGCGGAACGCTACTCTTAAAGTAACAGGGACTGTGCTAGCAGGGCCACGATGGAGGCTTTTTTTTGCTATGGCCTTTGAAATCTCTTTGGGGAAGGCATCTAATTTGGAGTCCAGAAAAAAAGCACAAACACTGTTTTAGAGTAGGAAAAAAAAAGGTAGAGCTCATTCTTTCAAAATAAAATTCTCAGATTAAGAAAAAAATTAAAATCCTGGTAAGATAAGAGTAAATTAGCAAGTAAAAAGAAAAGGAGAGAAAGCAAATTTTTGGTATATGAATATCATCTCTAATGAAATAGAAATATGCACACTTCTATATTATAATTTCATAGAAAGTTTGTTTTATTCCCCCTAAGGATTGTAAAAATAAAGCATGCAGATTATATGTAATATGGAAATAGAAATATAAAGCTGAAAAAATTCCACCATGACACCACCATTTGAAGGCAACGATCAAGAACACTTTAGTGGATTTTCTTGCAGGCTTCCTCCAAAATCTTTTAAAAATAGATTCTTGAGACCTTAACCATATGTAGAATTTTCTTTCTTATTATTTCAACCAATATTTTAGCAAAGTCATGGCCCTATCATGTTATTCAGTCTTTTCTTATGTATGAGCTTATGGTTGTAAAATACTTATTTTGCAATTTTAACAAACATAGGGCAGTTTTTAGAATTGGTATGTCTTCATGCTAAAAAGCAATGCTTGACTGCCTTATTTTTCAGATGTACTCATTTATTAAAAATATTTGTTCCTAATAAAAAATTTGTTAATCTGTAATAAAAAATTAAAGGGTAAATTCTCTGCCATTATTCTCATGGTTAACCCATTAACTTTTATGTTTAAATATTCTGGAAATTGCATTTTCTACAGAATTAGAAAAGATTCAGTCTCAATCCCCTAGCCTTATAATGTACTTAACCCCACTAATGCTCTTTCAAATGCATAAACCCAGAAGTCAAGATGAATTTTAAAGTGAAGACCTGATGTTTACATTTACCCATTGTTCTCCCTTAATCTACAGTACCTGCATTTAGATACATTTTGCTTATATGAGATATTGGAAACTATTTTTGATGATCACTATCTTTTCTGACCCAGGAACTGGACACATTTTCTCCCAGTCAGCCCCGGAGCCATTATACATTCTCCACAGTAATTTCACTGTGTCTCTCCAACAATACTTCTGTCATTCTCTTTTATTTAGAACCCAAAATAAAAGTTCTGCTGGAAGTGTTTGCATAGGAATATAGTTTCTATGCGAAAATAAGAGGCAACCCGCTTAGTTTTCTTACCCTGAATTCATTGAAAATATTAAACTTGCCTTTTGTAATAAGATGGGTCCTTTTCCAGTTTCCAGAACAATGCCCACTAAGGGTTAAAACACTGTGGTCACTCAGTCCCTGGAGGCGGGGCTGGTGGAGACTGCACTGCCTGCTCCCAGGGCGTGGGACTCAGCTTGTTTCCAAATAGATTTCCTCTAAATTGACTTTCGTTTTGATCCCTGTGAGACTTATGTTAAAGGGCAAAATATAGTTTCCTCTTAGAATAAAATCCAGACTTAGCTAGATTTATTTTCTTGCCCCCAAATAGATGTAATTTAGAATTTTTGGTAGTTTTGAAACCTATTTCTTTTTTTTTCAGAATCCAATTCCAATGTTAATAGGCTTCCAAATATTTTGTTACTTACTCAAAACTTTTTGAGAAAGCAAATCCCTAATACTGAAGCATGTTGTATTTTCAAAGTACTAAATTTTAGCTCCATGTCTCTCCTAGAGATTTTCTTTAGGTTAATGGTAGTTTTAAATTAAAAGAAAGTTTGCAAGATAAAGAAACCTATAGTTTGCACTATCAATTTGAAGAAATGTTATTTCTTTACATTTTTCTTCAAAACATTTGCAGTAAGTAAAAAAACTTATGTTGAGTAACGTTGTGCGACAATGGAAGTAAATGAACATTTATTGAGTACATAGTACGTGCCAGGTTTCACATACACTTAAACATTTAATTTAAACCTTTCAATAATAATCATTTGGGATTGGTATTATTATTGGTATCAACCAATCAACTGGGCATGGTGGCTCACATATGTAATCCAGGCACTTTGGGAAGCCAAAGAAAGAGGATTGCTTGAGCCCAGAAGTTTAAGGCCAGCCTGGGCAACACAGGGAGACTGTATCTTTGTGCATTCACATGTGTGCGGGCATACACACACACACACACACACACACACACACACAATTAGCTGGGCATGGTGGTCCATCTCTGTGGTCCCAGCTACTTGGGAGGCTGAGGTTGGAGGATTGCTTGAGCCAGAGAGGTCAAGGCTGTAGTGAACCATGATTGTACCACTGCACTCCAGTGTGGGTGATGGAGTGAGATCCCGTCTTAAAAAATGAAATAAACAATCAACTTAGTGTATAAATTCTGGAAGACCAATTATCTAAAATTTGAAAGGGAGTTTATTCACTTAACAAAGGTGCTTCTTATACAGTATTGAAATACAAAACTAAAAAGTGAAATCCAATCATAGGGCTAAATTCTAAAAGAAATTCTAAAGACAAACTCATTTAAAGATGCAATATTGTTTTCCTCCCCTGAAAATTCAAAATTGGTATTTTTTATAGTTTCTAAGAATCATGCAAATGTTGGATGGCAGAGTCAGCCTCAAAAGTCAAGGACTGTCGGTATAGTTTCAATACCATAGTCTGAGGTTTCCAGCAATGCTCTTAATTTTCTTATCCTGATGAACTAAGATGTTTAGTATTTTTCTCACTCACTCTTCAGTTTCCTGATTATTGTTCTAACTCCTTGTTGGGTCATCTGCCTCAATCTGACTTCTGCATGGTCAAACCACATTTCCATTATTGGAACAGAGGACATGAAAAGCCTTGAAAGTGAGGTCGATGTAATAAACATGGGGGTAAAAAAAGAATGCAATATGAATCATCACTGTAGCCTACTATTTACTGAAGTCCAGCTCTGTGGCCACATTGGTGCCAGGTGCCTTGCTTGTAATTTTCGTGGCAATTCTTATGTCTAGTTGAGGAGTTTGAGATTCAGGGATTTAAAAACTTGCGAAAGATAGAAAACGGGCTAGTCATGTGCAGAAAGCAGAAACTGGACCCCTTCCTGACGCCTTACACTAAAATTAACTCCAGATGGATTAAAGACTTAAACATAAGACCTAACACCATAAAAACCCTAGAAGAAAATCTAGGCAAAACCATTCAGGACATAGGCATAGGCAAGGACTTCATGACCAAAACACCAAAAGCATTGGCAACAAAAGCCAAAATAGACAAATGGGGCCTAATCAAACTCCACAGCTTCTGCACGGCAAAAGAAACAGTCATTAGAGTGAATCGGCAACCAACAGAACGGGAAAAAATTTTTGCAGTTTACCCATCTGACAAAGGGCTGATATCCAGAATTTACAAAGAACTAAAACAGATCTACAAGAATAAAACAAGCCCATTCAAAAGTGGGCAAAGGATGTGAACAGACACTTTACAAAAGAAGACATACATGAGGCCAACAAACATATGAAAAAATGCTCATCATCACTGGTCATCAGAGAAATGCAAATCAAAACTACATTGAGATACCATCTCACGCCAGTTAGAATGGCGATCATTAAAAAATCTGGAGACGACAGATGCTGGAGAGGATGTGGAGAAATAGGAACACTTTTTATTTATTTATTTTCTTAATTATCTTTTTTTTTGAGACGGAGTTTCGCTCTTGTTACCCAGGCTGGAGTGCAATGGCGCGATCTCGGCTCACCGCAACCTCTTCCTCCCGGGTTCAGGCAGTTCTCCTGCCCCAGCCTCCTGAGTTGCTGGGATTACAGGCACGTGCCACCATGCCCAGCTAATTTTTTGTATTTTTAGTAGAGACGGCGTTTCACCATGTTGACCAGGATGGTCTCGATCTCTTGACCTCGTGATCCACCCGCCTCGGCCTCCCACAGTGCTGGGATTACAGGCTTGAGCCACCGCACCCAGCCCAAGAACACTTTTACACTGTTGGTGGGAGTGTAAATTAGTTCAACCATTGTGGAAGACAGTGTGGCGATTCCTTAAGGACCTAGAAATAGAAATTCCATTTGACCCAGCAATCCCATTACTGGGTATATATCTAAAGGATTATAAATCATTCTACTATAAGGACACATGCATACGAATGTTCATTGCAGCACTGTTTACAATAGCAAAGACCTGGAACCAACCCAACTGCCCATTGATGATAGACTGGACAGGGAAAATGTGGTACATATACACCATGGAATATTATGCAGCCTTCAAAAATGACGAGTTTGGGTCCTTTGTAGGGACATGGATGAACCTGGAAACCATCATTCTCAGCAAACTGACACAAGAGCAGAAAATCAAACACTGCATGTTCTCATTCATAGGTGGGTGTTGAACAATGAGAACACATGGACACAGGGAGGGGAGCACTACACACTGAGGTCTGCTGCTGGGAAATGGGGGAGGGACTGGGTGGTGGGGAGAGAGCATGGGGAGAAATGCCAGATATAGGTGATGGGGAGGAAGGCAGCAAATCACAATGCCATGTGTGTACCTATGCAACAATCTTGCATGTTCTTCACATGTACCCCAAAACCTAAAATGCAATTAAAAAAAAAGAAAAAAAAACTTGCCAAAGATAAAGGAGCTAGAATTGTTATTTAAACTGAGATGTCTGACTTCAAAACATTGACTTTTTGTAGTTGACCATTCTCTCACAGTTGTAATGATTTTCTAGTATTCTCATTTATCACAGTTCAGAGGCAGATAATGGTAAATAAAAACCAAAAAGGACTCAAATTCATCACGTCTGAAAGGTTATCAAGAAACTAGTTCATCAGAGGAGTTTGTATGTTCCTTTTTTCTCTAGATCTTGAGAAAGAGCTGAAAGAATCATTTTTCTTTCTTGGATTTATGAGATCTAAGTCCAAGAATAGACCAGCGTTTTCTCAGATCCCTTCAGCTCTGTACTTCTGTGTTCTGTGTTGACTACCTCTTCTAGCTGCATATTCCATAAAGCGTAACTAGGGCAATTAATTGAAGGAATAAAAGTGAGTGATGATAGTTAATATGCAATCTTCTATACAACCCCATTTTTCCCCTAAAATTTCCAATGACAGTTGTCTTAAAATTAGGGGATATAATGGGATAAGAATCAGCTGGCTAGAGAATTGCATGTTCTTATTGGTTTAGTTCTATTAGTTTCCTCAACTTTCAATACATCCTGAAATGGCCTGATTGCCCTAACTTGTTGCCCTAAATGACTAGCCACACTCGCTGGGGCTGTCAGGAGTTAGTAATGTTGCTGTATGGCCTTAGGTCAGATTTGTATATGTTATCCTTGTGCTTGATATAAATCGTGTTTCAAACAAAAAATATTATTAAATATCTTGGCCTTTTTCCTGAACTGATAATGAACAAGTATGCTTGCCTACAGTTATTGAGTTAGATCAACCCACATCAGTATATATACATGTTTTTATTACAGGATATTTTTACAAATATAAAACCAATCTATTTAAGTTTTTCCCTTTATGTAAAATTTCTTTTGCATCATTTCAAGGCTGAGCTATAACCTAAAACTTCAGTCCAAGATTGCACAGGGCTCTGACCCTACAGCAAAGCAATAGGCTTAAAAGGTGGGCTTTAGCCATGTGCGGTGGCTCATGTCTATAATCCCAGCACTTTGGGAGGACAAGCCAGGCAGAGTATGTGGCCAGGAGATTGAGGTCATCCTGGCAAACATGGCGAAACCCCATCTCTACTGAAAATACAAAAAATTAGCTGGGCATTGTAGTGCACACCTGTAATCTCAGCTACACAGGAGGCTGAGGCAGGAGAACTGCTTGAACCCGGTATTCGGAGGTCGCAGCTGAGATTGCGCCACTAAAAAAAAAAAAGAAAAAAAAGGGGAATATTGTTAAAAAAAAAAAAAAAAAAAAAAAAAAGGGTATGCTTTGGGGAGAGTGGGGCTAGTATTTGCTAAGTCCCTTGGTCATTCCCTACTTCATCTAATTCCTTCCTGCAGCAAACAGTCTCCGGAAGGCCTCCCTCATGAAATCATCCAAATTTGTAGAGAAAATATCCACATTTATCATTAAGAGTTAGCTTAGAAGCCTGCTTTTGGAAGGAAGAAAATAGAGCAAAGAGGAAAGGCCATCCTTTTCATTCCAGGGGATTTGGGGAAGAGAAGGAGAAGAAACATTAGCTCTCGAAAATGTATTTGCTTTCCCTAATGTTTTGGTTTCAAATAGCGTCTTGTCTTCCCTGGTGAAAAGGTACTGTTTGAGAAGCAGTTAATAGGCAAGAGCTGAGCTGGTTCCATTTCCTACTTCATGGGGTATAAAAATAACAATGTGAAGAAAGGATAAACACTCATGGAAAGCTAGCACAGTATGGACACAGCATTCACAGTGTTGCTTTTAAATTCTTAGAGTTTAGATTCTCTGTGGGAGTCATTCACCCAGCCTTTAGCAGGTACTGACAGACTTTAGGGAGGTGAACCTCAGTCACTCAGAGGAAATGGGTTAGATTAGAGTGTACCAAGGGAAATTCCTGAAACTGCTTTATTTACTTTGCTAATTACCAGAATAAGGCCCAGTCTGAGCCCTCAACTGAATTTCTAAATCTATGGGCTTTGCAGTGGTGCCCAAAGACTAGATTCAGTGGTTCTCCACCCTGGCTGTGCATTAAAACAACCTGGTGAGTTCCAAAGACACTCAAGCTCAAGCTCAAACTAAGGCCATTTAAACCAGCATCTCCAAGGGTTGGGGCCCTGGCACCACTGCTTTTCAGAATCTCCCCAGGTAATCACAATGTGCAGCCAGGGCTGAGAATGACTTTGTTAGCTGCAGATTACTATTATTCCAACAGTGGCGAGCAATTTTCACTCACTGACCTCATGTCTGACTCAGAGATTCTTAATTTTATTTATCACTCAGGAAGATAATATTTTAAGCACAGAAGAATTTTTCATATACAGAAGGATACATGGCATATTTATTTCGTGTTTAAAGGAGTTAAATTATGACAAGAGTACAAATTGAGGCATTCTATTACATCACAAAATAAGAATTATTCTTAGTTCACACACATGCTCTGCTCTTTGCAAGGTGAGACTTAAACAAAGATCTTCAACCTTGGCGCTATTGAGACACTATTTTGCGGAAGGCTACCCTGCACATCGTAAGATGGTTAGTATTTTTCCTGACT